TGCTTATTCCAGTTCAGGGTTGCAGGTGACCTGAGCTTCTCCCTGCAGCTTAGGACACCAGATAGGAAGCAACCATCCCTAGACAGGTAGTATCACCAGGTGCACTCACAGACACCCCCATACTCACTCCGACTGGGACCATTAGATCCTCCAGTGAACTGAATGTGCATAACTTTGGAATGTTGGGGAAACCTGGGTACCCAGAGAAAAGCCCATCCAAACATGGGGGAAAACTTGCAGACTCCACCCAGACAGTGAACCCTAGTGGGAATACACACACACACACACACACGCACACACACAAACATATATATACTTTTTTTCTCATCAGTGTTATAAGGAAACAATGTTGAATGAAATGACTATTATTCAAAGACCTGCTGTACCTGAATCTGCAAACAGAGAATTGAATTTTGCAAACATTCAATCAAGCAGGATTGGCTATATTTGGAATCAACTGAATATATTCTGAAATACTCCTTTCTTTGTTCCTGATGATCTTATTTCAGAACTTCTCCTACTCAAGTGCTGTGGGCAGAACTGATATGATATGATAGCTGTTCTATTTATATTGGTGATCTACACTAACGTACTCTTATTGCTTGGGACCTTGTTTTGAGCCATCATAAATGTCCAAATTGATTCCGTCAAAGTATGCCTTTAGAGGACTTCATTGTGACCGCTGCATAGAATGTGAAAATTCACAAATATTATCCTTGTAAACCCTAACACTATGGGGTTGGAATATGTGTAACAGGTCTGTAGTGTAAGCAGCCACCTTAAACCCAGCTAGTTTTGGTGGTTGTTTGGAAATGCAGATCTGCAAAAGACATAACAAGTACTTCTTCAGTTTTTTTTTTTTTTACATGTTCAATAGAATCATTGAATGAAATATTCAAATGATTTAGAATAGACTTGACAAATGGTGTTAACCTTTCAAAAATATTTTTTGAACTAATGAATAGCATTTTCTGAGCCTAAAGGCAGCATTAATTCAGACTTTGGTAATGAAAAAATATATATAATAGAAGAAAAAGTCGACATTTATTGAGTATATCCTGTGTGCCAAGAACTGTGACATTTGTTCTACAAAGGTTGTTTTATTTTAACTTTACAATGACCTTAGAGCTAGTATTATTGAATAAATAAGAAAATCAAGTCTTAGAGGCTAATAATGTAATAAGTCACAAAAAGAACTGGAGTTCATGACTTCAATACAGGATTATGAGATGTTACAGCATATGTCTCTTCTTATACAATACACGTACCTACAATTTTAATACAATTCATAAGCCCTTTATAATCATCTTTTTAAAAACTTAACAATATAGTGTATTTCATTTTTTCCTTATCTTTTTGTGTTTTATGATCAAATTGAATTTGCTTTTATATTTCATTTGTTTTATTTTTACAATTTTACAATTAAATTATTCTAAGTTTTACAAAGAAGAGATTATTGCAAAGGCATATGAAACCTTCAGATACTAGAAAAAGGGGAAATACGTCCCAACTAATCTGAAGACTTTGGTGTAGTAGTTATGCCAAATCAGTGATTAGAGTAAGATAAAGTAGTACATCAATCTAAGCATATACATAGACAATTCTAAACAAAAATATAATATTGTATATATATTAAAAAATCATGTTGAATTTATCTGAGAAAGTCAAGGATGATTTTACACGAGCAAAACTAAAACTAAAACCTGTATAATTGTCTACATAAATGCACAACAATGATTTAGTAAATGTCAACTTTAATTTGGGACAAAAATTCAAGAAAATCTAGGCAAATCATGAAGTCTTCTTAATCTGATAAAAATGATACTTAGAAAATCAAATTTGAGTAAGCATTATTCTAAATAGAAAATAACACAATATTACATTTAAAAACAGGAACTAATCAGAATGCCCCCAAATCTACTTTTATTCCATATCGTACAGGATATTTTGGTCATTATATTAAGGCAAAAATTAATTCAAAGAATAACTTTATTAAAAGAATAAATAAAATTACTACCTACAATGTCATTTTAAAATACCAGTGTTTTGAACAAGAAATTCTATTGCTGGGATTATTTTCTCTAGGTGCTCTTGAATATCTGCAAATAAATATCTGATCAAAGATTATCATTTTAGCGTTGCTCATGGTAGTGAAAAATTGAGAACAATGTATTAACAAATTATAATTAATAGAGAATTTGGAAAGTAATACTGTTTTATATTGAATCAGAAAAACAAATGAAAGGATTAAATGAGCAGGTTGCTTACAAATTAATTCACACAGTATCATCTATCAAATGCATTCATGTGTGTTTGTGTGTGCACAGATGTGAATGTATAAGATGGGGAATAGTTAAATACATTGAACAATATTAGCAGCAATTTTAACAATAAGTAGCTCCAAATATAGTAACACAAAATGTCTCCAAGATATTAAGTCGGGAAGAAAACATAATAAACTTATAAAGCATGGACACAGTTACGTAAGAATGTTAACTAAAAATTGTCGATATTCAGATATGCTTATATGAATTTTTATGCACAGGAAAACACTGCATCATCAGCAGTGTTTACTGCTAAAGGGATGAGGAGTTGAGAGAGAATGATATGTTTCAATAACTCCAGTATCAAAATTTTATTATTTAGTTTTTTATGAGTATTAAGGAAATTTTTAAAAACTAATTAAAATAAAATGTGCTATATTATCTCTTATAGAATAAAATAACATATAGGAAAAAAGCTAAATTTTTACTGTTTTCTGGTTGAAAATACATAATTTCAAGAAGTCCTTGTTTTTCCATGAATCCAAATGCTTCCTTTTTTTTTTTTAAATATACCACAAAATTATTTTAACCTGTTTCCTCCAGAGTTTGGCACTTCCGGTTGGCATTAATCTCCTCTGTGTATGTCCTTCTTCAGCTTGAGAGGCTCCAAGGAGACCGAGAGAAAAGACTAACAGGCAGCTCAAGGCTTGTGCAGAGTTTGAGATTTTACCTTTCTGGAAGCCATGACATCCCCGGGTCACAAATAAAGGACTATTACAGCAATAGCAGTAGCATGTGAATTAGCATCTGCTTGTACCATTTCACCGTGTCCAACTTCTTTTTTTTTTTTTTTTTTTTTTTTTGAGACGGAGTTTTGCTCTTGTTGCCCAGGCTGTAGTGCAATGGCATGATCTCAGGTCACCGCAATCTCCGCCTCCTGGGTTCAAGCGACTCTTTTGCCTCAGCCTCCCGAGTAGCTGGGATTACAGGCATGTGCCACCACACCTGGGTAATTTTGTATTTTTAGTAGAGACGGGTTTTCTCCGTTGGTCAGGCTGGTGTCTAACTCCCGACCTCAGGTGATCCGTCCGCCTCAGCCCCTAAAGGCTGGAATTACAGGCATGAGCCACTGCGCCCGGCAGGCTGTGTCCGACTTCCTACTAGGAAATGCAAACAGAGTCAAATGACATCTGAACATACAGTGAATTGCATTACAGAAGAAGAACTCTGAGCTCAGAATATAAATATGTTATAAAAGGTCAGTAAGCAAGGCTGAACACTGCTCCAGAGAGAAACACTATTTCTATCTGCCAAACTTGTTTATTACAAAATAAATAAATAAATAAAGCTTGAAAAGATAGTCCAGAACTGAAAAACAAAATGAAACAAAACAACAGTCATTGCCTGTGCTTGCAAGACAAACGTGCCTAAATGCAAAATGTCAAAAGACATATAAAGGTTGTTTGGATAAGTCACTATCGAACACTGTTGCAAGGGTCTTTCATATAACTAATCTGTAGAGTCACATTTATCATAAGTAAATGCCTTATACTATTTAATTGGGTGATCTTTGATAGTATGTTAACAGAGGTTTAAGAATATGTAGAGCAGAAACCTAATTATGTAAAGTCTTAGTGGTAGGGAAGAAAAAAGTATTACAATTTAAGATGAGGGACAATCTACTTCTAGTGGAAATTGTCAAATAAAAAAAAAACATTGTAAGACAATATTCCAAAATAGAAATAGAAAGATATTTGGGGAAAGTAGGTTACATTCCCCCTACATATTGTGAGACTACATTAAGAAATTAAGTTGAAAAGTGTTTAGTAAAATTAAACTAAAGATATTTTTAACTCGTTTTTCCTTTCTCCTTGGAAATTCAGTTGATTTCAAACATGCACTAAAGGAGAGAGGTATTTTTTTTCCATGGAGAAACCCAGAAGGCACCAACTTGACCAAGTGATCAAGGTTAAGGTCAATGCATCACTGCTTATTGACATCAAGTAACTCCTATTGGACACACTAAGAAAGACACATCACTTCTGTGTTCTTGCCAATAAGGCATATGCTTAATCTAACGATAAAAATGCATCAGACAAATCTAAATTGTACAAAACAACAGACCAGTTTCCTCAAAAGTGTCAAGGTCATGAAAGGCAGGGAAAGATTCAGAAACTGTCACAGGTTGGAGAAAACTAGGTGGAAGCAATAATATGGAATGCTGGATTGGATCCTGAAAGAGAAAAATGTATGACTATATAAGTTAGTGAATACTGAATAAAGAATGCATTTTATTTACTAATATGCACTCATATTTAATTCTTAGTTCTGTTAATTGTATTGTGGCTAAATAAATGTCAATATTACAGGAAGTGGGTGAGAAGCATATAGGGACGCTCCTTACTCTTTTTTTTATAGTTTTTGTTTTCCTTTCTTCTGTAAGTCTAAAAAAAAAATTAAGTATATGAAACCAGAACAAAAATATGAAAAATAAACCACTTTTTACATATATACCAGTCTTATGTATACTGAGGCATTATAGTAGATTATTAATTTAATGGATGCCCCCAATGAGTCATACCTTCCTGTATCCATACTTTTACACATTGACTAAGGTTTTGGCCATGTGATTTGGCTTGGCCAATGACAAAAAAAATGAGGCAAGTAGAAAATTAATAAGCACCTAAGCATCAGGATTTGCTTCTAGAATGCTGTTACTGCTATATTCTCCTACAGGCTAACCTGCTGGCTGGGCCAATGAAAGAAGAATAAGTCATCCAAACAGCAGCCACAACTAACCACTAGAAATGTGAGTGAGACTTTTGTGGGTCATCCAGCCCCAGTCAAGCTACCAGATACCTAAAACTATAAAAGAGACAAAAGACAAGACCAGCAGAAATACCAGCCAGATGATCCACAAATATTGCAAAAGTGTGAGCAAATAACTCATTGTTTTAAACTGTAGATATAGATGTTATTTCTTGTGAAAACTACTCAACTGTGTACCTACTTTGGTGTTTCTTCTCTATGCTGAATAAAGTGAATGTAACAAGCAATATTTTCTCTTTAAACAGGTATGCATCAGTTGTAGTCTAACATAACTAATGTCAGAATAATAGCCATGGCCTCTTACATAACTTGTATGCACAAGGAGTTTCTGTTCTCTACTTCTGTCAAAAAGAAGGTGAGTAGTATCACTAAGCAATGGATTACTTCTTATAGGTGTCTGTTCATGTAGGAGGAAATAGTTCATCACTGTGAATGAGAAACGGACAGTGTCTGTTTGACTATTGTCTGCTTGTACTGACAGATGTTCTACTTTATTCAGTACAAACCTCTGGCTATAAAAGGAATGGTAATTTAATGGAATATTCAAAGTTGTTGCTTAAAGGTGTGACCTTTTACCGGGCGCAGTGACTCACGCCTATAATCCCAGCACTTTGGGAGGCCAAGGCGGATGGATCACCTGAGGTCAGGAGTTTGAGACCAGCCTGATCAACATAGAGAAACCCGTTCTCTACTAAAAGTACAAAATTGGCTGGGAGTGATGGTGCATGCCTGTAATCCCAGCTACTCAGAAGGCTGAGGCAGGAGAATCGCTTGAACCCAGGAGGTGGAGGTTGTGGCAAGCTGAGATCGCGCCATTGCACTCTAGCCTGGGCAATGAGAGCAAAACTCTGTCAAAAGAAGAAAAAAAAAAAAAAACAGATTAAGGCATATCTTAATATTTCGGTCAATTATTTTCTCTGGATTTATAAAATCTCTGAAGTGTAACACCTACGTAAAAGTGTTTCTGAAGCTTCAGTCTCTTCTTACAATTGTTGTGCAAAATGCTTCTGACAGGCTCTGATTCAAGGTAATAATGATGTTTCTGAAAGGAAGCAGAGACAGCTCCTATCTTCTGAGTACAACTTTAAGGTATTCCTATTGTTGCTCTTTTAACCCCATGTCTTTATTGATCAATGTCAGTCTTCATTAGCTCCTCTTTGCCAGGAACTCTTAGATTCCCCTGAAGCCCACAGCTCAAGAAGAAGACTGCAGGTGCTTCCATCATAAGTCATTCTGTCTTCTCCTAAGGACACAGATAATTAGACATTGGACACTTCCTTGAGGCGTTCTTAATATATGTTTTTTAATTACCAACTACTCTTCTTCCTTTCCTTTTAAATGTGTTTTTGCTTTGAGGGATGCTGCCATGCTGATACAGATAATGAATTGTAAAGAATTCTTTTGTTTTTCAAGGTGGTGTTTCAAATACTTCACTCTTTTGATGAAAAAAAATTGTTTGATAAAAATGTAAAAAGAATAGAAGTGAAAAACAAATTCATAATTATTCACAGATGATATATATTAAAAATTTCAAATCTATTGATACATTATTATAATTAAGATGCAAATTTATCAAAATTCTTAAGTGCGATATTAATATACATAAATATATCAACAGTATTTACTATAAACTATCAACAACAATTTGGAAAATGCAATACTCAATGATGCCATTTATAATAGCTTCAAAGATTATCAAATGCAAAGCTACATTGAAACACTATTACATTAGAATTTAGAAAACATTAGAATTTAGAAAAATATAACATCAAATGTTGTTAAAGGTTAGGAACAACCAGAACTCTCATACATTTTTGATTGGAGATAAAGTGTCAGAACTAATTGGGAAATCTGTGAAATCACTTAGATATTTAATTACACCTTTGTTGCCATATATTATGCTATTATCTTGAACTGTATTTTGCACTTTTTTTGTAGATTAGTGTTTTACTTGTCTAAGTATTGTACTATCAAATAGACAATGTCAATTTCTAAAAGAAGGGGCTCCATGTGCTACTTATTCATGTTCCTGATGGTACCTCATATTGTCAGGGTCTCATTCATAGGGTTCTTTGAAACGATGTCAGGTGAATCTTTGAATATACAAAATATGAATTATTAACTAAGGAGGAGTACCTGGTCACTGACTACACTATTTTAACCCCCTAGCTAATATAATCTAGCAGCAGTGTAAAGAAAAATGTTGCATCATATGACCCAGGGTTTGAGACCTATAGATTCTGTGTGAAATTAGATTAATTCTCTTAGCTTTTCTGCATCTCTGAATCGTCATAGAATCAAGAAGATTATAAAATCTCAGATTGTGATAGTGATGATAAAATAAGATAATGTTTATGAACTAAACCAAAAATCACAGTATTAGACAAATGCAATAAAAATCTAAGTTATTGCTTATTAGGGCACACAGCACTGCTGTTTTACAGAGACTATACAGAGCTAATATAAAAATTTTAAGTGTCAGAATTTGTTAACTTAAAAGAGTTAATATTCATTAATTTTTATTATAATGCTCATTCAAATCACTTAGATAATTTGCTTCTCTTAATTCAAAGAAGCAATATATGACAAGAGAGGACACTGAGGAGAGCTGTTTATGAGACTCCTTTTTCTATTAAGTCCACACAGGTCTTGGGAAAGTCTGACATTACTGGACAACAATTTCAGCTTCTGTACAATGAGATGGTTAGGCCAGACATCATTTCTTAACTTATTTCTTATTTAACATTTTTTGATACTTAGGAAAGAGCGGAGACACTAATCAATTTATTTTCTGCCATTTTTTCTCTTTAATTATCTCTCTGTTTCCTAACTTCCCTTCCCCCATACGAATGTAAATTACATTGGGTCCTGAATATTCCTTTTAGCACTGGTCATTTCTTCCACTCAATAGGGGAATGAGTGGTCCCCACAGTCAGAATATAAGGAAGAGAAAATAGTGTTCCTAGTATTTAGAATTAGAAATATAATTATCATACAAATGTAATTTCCAACATTCTCATTATTTTCTAGGTGTAAGTACATTGTCAGAAGAAAGAGCTGTCATCCAGGAACTGGAGGACATTATGGTAAGTGAAATAAGCCAGGAACAGAAAGTTAAAAACAACATGTTCTCACTCATATGTAGAAGCTAAAAAAAGTTGATCTCATAGAAGTAAAAAGTAGAACAGAAGATACGAGATGCTGGGAAGGGGAAGCTAGGGGATAGGGAGAGATTTGTTAGAAGTTATAAAATTACAGCCAAATAGGAGGAATGAATTCTAGTGTTCTACACCATTGTAGGATGATCATCGTTAACAATAATATATAGTTTCTAATAGCTAGAAGGAGAATATTGAATGTTCCCAACACAAATAAATGACAAATATTTGAGATGATGGATATGCTAATTGCCCTTATCAGATCAATATACATTACATTATTGAAACATCACTGTGTAACTCATGAATATGTACAATTATTATTTGTTAATTTAAAAATTAAATTTTAAAACAGGAAATTTTTAAAAAAGAAAAAATTGCCATCAATTTCCAAAGCCCAAATTCTGCACTATTGTATGGGGTGTGTAAATATATATAAATATATATACACATATATAAATATATAGTTACATATATTTATAATTTATATATTATATAGTATATGTTTATATAAAAATATATACTTATATATAATATAAAATATATCTGTACACTCATATAGGGAAATATATAATTATATATCCACACTCCTATGAGGAAATCATATTTTAGGTTGAAACCACTAATTAACAAGTAAGTAATTTGCTCAGAAGTTTCCAGCTACATAAGCTACCACCGGCTTTCTGACAAACACAAAAATATACACAAGAAAAAAAAGCAAAGCAGCTTTATTGGTATTTTCTTACAAGCACTATTAAGGATGGATTAATATGCTGCTAGAATATGATGCTGTGAGCAAAAAATTTTTGTGAAATTCTTTTTAACTATTCACATTCAAAAATGAATTGAAACTCATACTATTTACCAAAAAGTGGCAAATAAGAGAACAACCGTTCACACAAGTAAATTGCACCCTAACGAATTTTAATAGATAAGTATATTTGATGTATAAGAATGCTTGTGATTTTTGAACATTGATCTTGTACACTGAGACTTTGCTGAAGTTGGTTATCAGCTGAAGGAGATTTGGGGCTGAGACGATGGGGTTTTCTAAATATACAGTCATGTCATCTGCAAACAGTGACAGTTTGACTTCCTCTTTTCCTAATTGGATATCCTTTATTTCTTTATCTTGCTTGATTGCCCTGGCCAGAACTTCCAACACTATGTTGAATAGGAGTGGTGAGAGAGGGCATCCCTGTCTTGTGCCAGTTTTCAAGGGGAATGCTTCCAGTTTTTGCCCATTCAGTATGATAATTGGCTGTGGTTCTGTCATAAATAGCTCTCATTATTTTGAGATACGTCCCTTCAATACCAAATTTATTGAGAGTTTTTAGCATGAAGTGCTGCTGAATTTTGTCAAAGGCCTATTCTGCATCTATTGAGATAATCATGTGTTTTTTGTCTTTGGTTCTGTTTATATGATGGATTACGTTTACTGATTTGTGTATGTTGAACCAGCCTTGCATCCCAGGGATGAAGCCCACTTGATCATGGTGGATAAGCTTTTTGATGTGCTGCTGGATTCGGTTTGCCAGTATTTTATTGAGAATTTTTGTATCGATGTTCATCAGGGATATTGGTCTAAAATTTTCTTTTTTTGTTGTATCTCTGCCAGGCTTTGGTATCAGGATGATGTTGGCCTCATAAAATGAGTTAGGGAGGATTCCTTCTTTTTCTATTGATTGGAATAGTTTCAGAAGGAATGGTACCAGCTCCTCCTTGTACCTCTGGTAGAATTCGGCTGTGAATCCATCTGGTCCTGGACTTTTTTTGGTTGGTAGGCTATTAATTATTGCCTCAGTTTCAGAACCTGTTATTGGTCTACTCAGGGATTCAGCTTCTTCCTAGTTTAGTCTTGGGAGAGTGTAAGTGTCCAGGAATTTATCCATTTCTTCTAGATTTTCTAATTTATTGGTGTAGAGGTGTTTATAGTATTCTCTGATGGTAGTTTGTATTTCTGTGGGGTGGGGTACTAAGTACAAAAATGTGTTTGTGATAACACATGTATTTTTCCTTCATGCATATAAGTTTGAAACAAATTTGAAGACAAAAGTTCCTCTTCATGTATAGAAACTAGAACCTGTTAACTGGATACCTAATTTTTAACATGGTTTCTTTGTTTTACAGAAAAATGTTTTATATACAAGATGGTTAAAATAGGTAAATGGCTGGTGTCTATGTGACATCTCTCTGAAATTTCATCCACAAATCTAATTGGAATGTCCTTTTTGAATTAATCACTTGCTTTTTTACCTTTTACTATAAAACTTAATTTGTTATTTAGTCACAGCCATTATTAAATATAATATGTGCGATTTTCAAATATTCTTATAGGACTACCAGACAGTGAAGGGGACCCAACAATAACTTGCTGAATGTTTGAATAAATGTTAAAGAAAATATGCAATTATTTTACCTAAGAGCAGAGAAGAGACACTCAGGAAACGAATATTATTTATTTGTTATTTAATTTAGTGCATCATTGTTATTTACATCCTGAGAGAGGCTTTGTTTATCGATATTTGACTGTCTGCTTCTGATATAAGTCCAGAAATTTTATATAATAACATAAAAACTTAAATATTTCTATCTTGTCAAAAATATTCAACTTAGTTCACCTGGCTGAGATAACGTTCCCTCTTCTCTCTTTCAAGTGATAGACTCAATCCTTTATTCCCTTTTTTTCAGAGAATCATATTCTCTGAGAATCATATTTCAGAGAATCAACAACTCTTTTTATTAGCCTTGAAGATGACGAAACTACATTTATTGCATGCTAATAAAGTTAGAGACATCACAAAATCCTACTTGTAATTCATGATTTTCATCAGTTTTTACTCTTGCTTTGCCCTTTGCCTTTTGATTTTGTTTGGTCTATTTTTGTTTCCCCAACTCACCCTAGTTGCCAAATTGCCCAATGGATCTTTCAAAAAGAAATAACGTTATATATGGGTAATACAATTTTTACGCATGTAGTACTTTAATATTAAAACGTTTATTCTCGCCAGGCGTGCTGGCTCATGCCTGAAATCCCAGCACTTTGGGAGGCCCAGGTGGGCGGATCAGGAGGTCAGGAAATCGAGACCATTCTGGCTAACACGGTGAAACCCCGTCTCTACTAAAAAATACAAAAAAAACTAGCTGGGCCTGGTGGCCGGAGCCTGTAGTCCCAGCTACTTGGGAGGCTGAGGCAGGAGAATGGCATGAACCTGGGAGGCGGAGCTTGCAGTGAGTGGAGATTGCGCCACTGCACTCCAGCCTGAGCAACAGAACGAGACTCCGTCTCAAAAAACAAACAAACAAACAAAAAAACACAACTTTATTTTCTTTAAGGTAAATCACTGAAGTTTGATGCATTCCAGAGTTTTCTAACTATTCCATATTATGGAGACTGTGAAATTACTCTCAAGTTTTCCAAGAAATGTACAAGGGAATGGTTTCTCAGTGATACTTTTTTTTTTTGGCTAATGATATTCAGACAAATTTAACTAATATATTTTTCTAATAGTATAAAATCGTTCATAAAATTATAATTTCATGGTTTGTTTGTTTGTTTCTTTGTTTTTTGAGACGGAGTCTCACTCTGTCCCTCAGGCTGGAGTACAGCGGCACAATCTCAGCTCACTGCAACCTCTGCCTCACAGGTTCAAGCAGTTCTCCTGTCTTAGCCTCCCGAGTAGCTGGGACTACAGATTTGCACCGCCACACCTGGCTAATTTTTGTATTTTAGCAGAGACAGGGTTTCACCCTGTTGGTCAGGCTGGTCTCTTAACTCCTGACCTCAGGTGATCCACTCGCCTCGGCCTCCCAAAGTGCAGGGATTACAGGCATGAGCCACTGCACCCAGTCAGAATTTCATGTTTTTCTGTGATATACTTTTATGTTGTAGCTATCTTATGTTCCTGATTCACTAATCTGTCACTTATATGCCTCTGAAATCTTGCAAAAACCTACTTCTTTCATGGCTTCATATATTCACACATGCATTCATTTGTTCATTCAGTAAGTGCTTATTAGCCAATTACAGAATTGCAGGCTCTGAGCTAATGTCTAGAGATAAAATAATAAACAGCAAATTGTTTATTATTTTCAATGGCAAAATAAGTATATAAGATATATAAAACAGTATATAAAAACACTTTGCTTTTATATTTGTGTATTTCCTCTAGTCTCTAATTAAAGCATTAAAAGAAACAACCTTCCATAATTTCTTATGACATCCAGGAAGCTCTAATATTTTGCAGAAATTCTTTAAACGTTTTTTTTCCTGCATTGTGATATACATGATTTGTATTTGGGCACAAATGGTTTTAGGCCAGGACAAGAAAAGATGTCCACAATTCCACACTGGAATATGAAGTTCTAATTTTATAAATTACTTTATACTATTAGAAAAAATATATTAGTTAAATCTGTTTAAATGTCATACAATGTCCATATCAGTAATGAAAACTAACTAGAATTATCAAAACAAGTGGGGAAAAAAAAAAAAAACTTTCTTTCTTATTCCAAGATTCACTAAAATCTGCTGTAATCAAATATTATATTGTGGGGAAACATAAAAACATACATAAATAGAAGAGATAGCCTATTTTTGTTAGTAACAAAAGTTGTATACATTTTAGCCAAAATACAAGGTACACAAAAAAGTAACAGAGAGCTGTAAGACAAAGCAACCAACTAAACTAGACTTAGATATGACACAGAAGTTGTAATAATCTCTTCAGAAAATTTAAAAAACTGATTAATTTGTTAAATACAATTATGGAAAAAGTGAATATCACAAAAGATTAGATGTGTGATTACCAATGGACTGGTAGAAACTGTAAATACAAAAGTCTAATGAAAATGTTAGAAATAAAAAACACAGTAAAAGTGATGAAGTATGCATTCAACAAGCTCATCAACCAACTCAACACATGAGTA